ACCTGTCCTTAATACATGTACAGTGTAGCCTCTTTATTAAGGACACCATTGGACCCACACTACCTGTCCTTAATACATGTACAGTGTAGCCTCTTTATTAAGGACACCATTGGACCCACACTACCTGTCCTTAATACATGTACAGTGTAGCCTCTTTATTAAGGACACCATTGGGCCCACACTACCTGTCCTTAATACATGTACAGTGTAGCCTCTTTATTAAGGACACCATTGGGTCCACACTACCTGTCCTTAATACATGTACAGTGTAGCCTCTTTATTAAGGACACCATTGGGTCCACACTACCTGTCCTTAATACATGTACAGTGTAGCCTCTTTATTAAGGACACCATTGGGCCCACACTACCTGTCCTTAATACATGTACAGTGTAGCCTCTTTATTAAGGACACCATTGGGTCCACACTACCTGTCCTTAATACATGTACAGTGTAGCCTCTTTATTAAGGACACCATTGGGCCCATAGCACACTACCTGTCCTTAATACAGAGGTGTCCTCATTTCAGAGGTACTTTTGTATAGGCTTGTACCAATTGGGACATTACAAAATGTCCTCATTATAAAGGTGTCCTTGTATCTCATTATAGAGACTATACATGTATGCCTTCAATTCTCTCTCTATTTGACTGTGTACTGTATGGAGTATAATTTAATTCCACTATTAACTGTCTACTTTAAACTTTCAGTCAGTAGAGGGGCTACACCTCTTCACATTGTGTACATGTACATGTACATCATTAGTTCTTATAAATAGTACATTATGTACATTACTGCTTGTAGTAATGTGAACTAAGGGTAGTATGGGGTTTGAACCACTTGTATATATTATGAATTATCATATATAGTACTGGCTTTAGTTTTGATGATAATTATTGTATCTTAATTAATTACTACCTACTGTGCTACTTTTTAATGTGAAAATTATTGCAAATTTTTGAGCTTAATTGTTATAGTGTCACACTTGCTTTTCTTCTGTTTTTTAATGTTAATTTTTAAACCTCTCCCTCTCTCCCCCTCCCTCTCTCTCCCCCCTCTCTCTCCCCCCTCTCTCTCCCCTAGGATTGGCTAAACCCATACAATAAAGTCTGGACTGGCAGTGCAAGGGCTAATGATGTTCACGGGGACAGGAACTTAGTTGCTACGCACAACCAAGAGCTAAAACCTCTCCGGTGAATTGAAAAACTTTAGAAAATTAAAATAATAAAAAAGATTTTATGATTTTGCCTCATTTAAATGTCTTAATACCTTCCTGCTGTCTTAAGAATTCAACAATTAAATTTATTATTAATAATATTTTCTCTTGTTCAATTTGCTTTAATTGTCTCTAATGTCTATATTTGTAGTTGTTTATATTATTTATCATCATTGTTTATTGTTGTTTGTTGTTGTTTATTGTTGTTTGTTGTTTATTGTTGTCACTGATATTTCTGATACGTTTTATGTATACATCATCAGTCAATATTATTATTATTATTATTATTATTTTTATTTTTATTATTTATTGTAAATATCACTTCTTTCTTTCTCTGTCTTATTATTAACATGTACTTATTATTATTTTATTATTTGTGTTTTTTTGTTGTTAAAGATTTGCTTTGTATCAATTGCATATTCTTTACAAATTTTGTCATTTGAAAATTACAGAGACCATATGCTGCCTTTAATTATTACATTGATCATAACTTTAAAAATTTAAGTCGGAATCAGCTCAAACTTTCTACACAGCATAAGGACATCAATATGCATCAGAAAATGTAATAAAAATTGGAGGTGATTTTTGGCCATTTTTCAGAAAAAACCATGGGCTATAGTACAGGGATTTTTTCAGATTTTGGCCGATTTTTAAAATGGTCATAACTTGAAAAAATTAAGTTGGAATCAGCTCAAACTTTCTACACAGCATAAGTAGATCAATATGTATTTTAAAATGTAATAAAATTGGGACTATTTTTAGAAAAAAAGCATAAGCTATAGTACAGGAATTTTTTATATTTTGGCCTTGCTGGTCATAACTCAAGCAATGCATGTTGGAATCAGCTCCACTTTCTACATAGCATAAGGACATCAAAAGTGAAGGTTGTACTGTATATAGTACAGGGTACTTTTCAAGAAATAATTTCCCATAGCTGCATGGCAACACTTGCTGGCACGATCA